TATTTTATGTGTAAGATACCTAATGGTGAAGAAAGATTACATGTCCTCTAGATAGGCTATCAAATTCCCTTATGTGACTATAAAAGATCATAACTTGTTCAATTTTTATCTCCTTGAACCCATTATTTTTCCACAATGATCTTAAGGATGTGAACTTTAACTCTTCTTTTATGTGAAAAACTTGAAAGTTGATGGAGGATGCCCTAAGAATGCAAGAGATTATAGGTCATTTCATTAATTTACACCAACTTCACAAAGTCATAACTTTCTCAGTTCTTGGAGTTTTTAAATGGTTCAAATATCAAAATATCATTTAAGAGATCTACTTCATGCCATATTTTTTGGTCAAAACCAAATTTTGAGTGGAAGGCCATTTTTGGATGCAAAACATTATAGGACATTTTTTGAGAAAAACAGAGAATTTTTCTAAGTACAAAAAGTCAACATCTTTTTCTCAACTTTGACTCATCACAAATTTTAGCTCAAGCATCCATTTGATTCTATTATTTTCACATTGTAAAGATTGTAACCTTATCTTCCAAATGCTTCAAGAATCATGCCCTAAGACTCCTTGAGCTATGAATGTCATTGATTCAAAGTTGGTACCTTGAAACTGAAGTTTTCTCCAAAGTCAGAATTTAAAATCCATGATTCAGCTTCTAATCACTAAATTTCTACGCATTTTTACTTCTAATTATGTTTAACAATCTTCCAGAAGTGATTAGCACCTTCATTCGCAAGTTTTGTTTGAGCTTTGAGCAAAATAGAAGTCACACTTTTCATGCTTATAACTTCACACGATTTCCCTCCAAACTTCATCATTCCACATGCTTGAGCATCCCATTTGATTCCCTATAAATAGAGGGTTATATCTCACTCATTTTCTCAAGCTTAGACAACCAGAATCTTCCTGCCCAACTCTTCTCTTAACCCATATTTCTGCAACCTTGAATTTGGTTTTACAGCCTTCCTCAATCCATTTTCTTTGTCAATTCTTCATCCTTGAACTTCACTGAAGCTAACAGAAGAAGAACCAAACCCTAAAGCATCCTAAATTGTGCTAGCCAAGTTGAGTTTTAAAGCTCTGAATTTGAACTTCAATAGGTAGATTCCTTCATCAATTCTCTCAAAATTTGTTACCACAATGAAGCTCTTAACATTCCGATACTAGTCGCAACATTTGTTTTCAACTGGAATTGAGTTTTGATCATGAATTTTCAAATCCCTATTCAACTTTTTTCTTCTGGTTTTCTTCAAATTGATTGAGCTACAACTTTTATAAATTTTTCGCGAGGGTACAGTTTTCTTCGTCTTGATGAGACGAAGCGAATGGCATAGGTCTGGGCTCCTGATTTTAAAGTTTGAGAGACCTGAAATTCACGTGGCTGGAGGTTGAAGATGACCAACGTGCCATCTCTCAACCAATGTCAAAGTGCCACTTGTTTTTTTTCAAAATCTGATTTAAATAAATGATTCGATGGTTTATTCATTAATGTCCATATCATCCACAGTGCGCCAGATCCCTTGGATTTGATTACTAACGCGTTTTGACATTGATCCAATGGTCTACATCTTTTTGGTTTTATTTTTATTTTATGATTTTATATTTTAATTGATTTAAACTTCAAAAATTCATAAAAAATTCATTTCCAACCCAAAAAATCTGAAATAATTCTTAAAAATATTTTGGATTTTTTTCTTATTGATTTTTATTTTTTCAAAATTTTATTTCATAATATGATATTTTTTTATAATTTTTCACTTTAATTGACTTGTTTTAATTGATTAAAAATATTTTTCTTAATTTTTAAATTTTGGAAAAATTATGGAAAGGTCTTTTGGCCTTTTTGGCAATTTTTGATAACCTTGTTTATTTTTTATTTCTGATTTTACTATTTACCATTTTGGTTTGTTTTACTTACTTCTTTTATTTTTAAAATTAGTTTCTGACTTTAAAAATTCTAAAAAAAAATTCAACCTTTATTAAATCATATTTGATCTCTGTCTTTTTTTAGGATTTTTTATTTAGTGTTTTAATATACTTTGTCTATTTTTACCATTTATTTTCCTTTTAATTAACCTTTTAAATATTATTTTATTTTTATTATTTTATTTGATTCTGACTTGGGTATTAATTGGTGACAAATTCTTCAACCTCATTGAATATTGGGTGTTGATAGGTTGAGAAACCAAATTCACCAAAATGGATGAATGATGTTGATGATATTTGAAACCCTAATTTCATACCTTGCATCCCTTACCTCTTCATCTTATCCCTTTCTTACTTGTATTATATGTTATTAGAGGATGATTTACATATCATCTCTCTAAACATATGGTACATAGATTGCTATTGACCAACCTCAAAATAGGTGCGACTTCTATATAAGTCCACTTACGATTGCTTAACATAGCGCTAAATTTTGTCCTGATTCGAGAAATGATCATTCGTGGCCCAAACCTATGTTTGCAAGCCCAAGGATGTTTAATTTGAAACCTTTGATCCAATAACCTTGAGATTCATTGTTAGGAGGCTTTGGTCTTATCAATCCTCTAATGAATCTTCATAAATTTTGGAACTAAGTGAATCATTTAAACATCATTGATCATTTATTGTTGCTTTGAGATTTTGGAATGAATGATATACTTGACAAAAAGCAAATGAAACTTTTTGTTGAGAGATTTTGATTTTATCAATTTTATAATGAGTTTTCAAATGCAATTTCAAGATGGTCATTCAACTAACCTCTAATTTCTAACAATTGACTTTATTTTATGTTTTTACTTTATGCTTTTTATTTTGAGCACGTTTATCTTAGCATTAACATTTCATGTTATTTTCATCTTTGCTCATTTGAGCATTTACATTTATATAATTTTTATTTTGCTCACTTGAGCTTTTCATTTCTTTTTGAAGATACATAATTACCAACTTAACCAATAAAAAATTTAAAGGTTACTTGGACTATTTGGTTACTATCCTTGGCATATTGGAGTTATGGACTTCTTGGACTTAGGATTAAAGACCTTGACCTACCTTGAGACCTTGTGACTTCTATTATCATTTTTTCTGGAGTTTTTGGGATTTACCCTAAAACATTAGGTTGTTTGTTTTCTTTGTGTGCGGGTTATTCTGATTATATGCTTTGTTTGTGATTGGGAAATCATCTATATACAGTTGTTACTCTGCCCAATTTTTGTGAAGACTTAATGCTTTTGAAGTTTGGCTTTCTTAAGAGGTTTAGTATCATTGCTTGCTTGGTTTCAAGTCCAAAGAATGGGAATCTACATTGAATCATTGTGTCAAGTGTTGACTTCTTGTTGGTTAGACGGTTCTTTTTCCTAGCTTTTACCTTATGCTTTAGGATAGTCCCTTGATCTACTCCCACCTTCTTTAATTTCAAAAATCTTCTCCCTCCTTTCAAAATTATTCTTGTTTTTAAACTTGAACCGCTTTCACAATAAACTTGGACTTATGTCCATGCATTTAAAAAAAAAATTCTTAATCAAACTTTAACCAACTTAATAATACTTTGACATTTTTATGAGAAGACTAAGAGTCAATCAATATCATTCAAACCATTTTGCCACTTTAGCTTTTTACCTTAAAATTTTCTCAAAAGATTAGACTCTTGTCAATCCTTGTAGTGATGTGAGCTACTATACTTCTACGATGTGTAGTGAAGTGAGATATTTTCCACTTGGGTGTTGAGCGAGGCTTTGTTGATTTTAAAATTCAAGTCATATCCTCCACTTTGAGATGACGTAAATTGTCATTTCTCATAATTGTGGGTAATAAGTATGTTCTTCAACTCAGATATGATGGTGATATCTCGTATCTTAAAATTAACCAACACACTTGTGTTTTAAAATTTTTAAAGGTGAACTACAAGTACCCTAGTCCCCTATTGCATGGAAGTTTGTATGTAGGCACTAAAGGTTCGCAACCGCGACGGATGCAAAAATTATTAATACTTCTTTTCCCATCCCTGCAATCTATTTTTATACAACTTTTATAGCCAAAATAGACAAATTTTCAAAGAGGTTCCTGCGGAGTATCGTAGATGTTTAGGGTGCTAATACCTTCCCTTTGTATAACCAACCCCCGAACTTAGATTATCTCCCCCTCTTTTTGGATTATTTTCTCTTTTCCCATTCCTTTTGGAAACAATAAATCGCGGTGGCGATTTTCATTTGATCTGTGCGAGTTAAGTAAATCCAATGGCTTAGTCTCAACATTTCTACCGCTATAATGAGCATGTGGATTTCTTCTTAAGAATTCAAAGGTGTGATTCAATTAGTTAATTGGAGTTCAAAGCATGTAACGTAGTAAAAATGACAAGGGGTTTAAATAAATCAAGGTCAAGGAGTTAGGCATATCAAGTTTATGCTTCGAATACAAGTCAATTGGACCTTAAGGTTCAAGCATTGAGTTAAAGTTTCATTAAGGATCAAGCATGGAATTTGGGGTCAACTGAGATTTAAATTTTCATGAAAGCTTAAGTTGCACATAAGGTTTCATTTAAGATGTATATGAACAAGTTTCGATCCAAACACCATTCACGGTCCCTAGAAGAAAAGGCATTGGTGAATTCTTTTAGAGAAAGATATGTTATTAAAAAAATTTCACAAGGACATGTCTCTTCTACAAGATCAAGTACCGTGACTTCAAATGTCATTACATCATCAACTAATGTCAAGATCCAAAGAAAATATAAGCAACCTGAAAGAGAAACTACTTTGAATAAAGAACTTGTCATTAAATTCAAAGAGTGAAAATTATGTCCATTACACAAAAAAAAAAGCAAGTGCAACATCATGGTCATTAAAATTCCCAGTATCATTACAATATCATCATTATAGGATATACTAGGTGTTCCCATCCAATGAAAAGATTGAAAACATTAATGGTCAATACTAGACATTGCAAGCAGAAGATATTCCAGAAGAAAAGAAAAACATTGGTCCACATGATCGATTTATTCACGTGTACCACTTTACTAAAGACACTGCTCAAAATCAAATGCGAATTCAAAAATTTGGAGATCCCTTTTCTTGGTTATACATGAAGGTGAAGCTCTATCTGAAATTAAAATGAGAATACATAATAAACTTCAAGTTCCTGATGAAGATTTTAGCAAGTGGAAGTCTGCTTTTCCATCATTTGGGCGCCCTGAGTACCTTCAGAATTCAGACATTGTATCCAGTCGTTTTCATAGGCGAGGTGTTTATGGTGCTTGGGAGAAATATCTTGGCTTAGAGCATATTGACAATGCTCCTAAAAGATCACATATAGTCAATCAGAATCGCCACACATTAGATGGAATAAGCCAGTAAAACAGTCATCTACAAAAAATCATTTCAAGGGAAAGAAAACCAGTTCATCCCAGAAAATCAGAAATAAAATTAAACCATAACAGAATTTCTAGCTCATCATAACTTCCATAGCTAACTTGCAACAAAATTTCAAACAACTTAACTAACTATCATGACAAACTCTAACGACCTGATCTCACCATTCATTTCCTTTAATAGAAATCTGAAATCAAGGGTGCGGATTAGTTTCAATCCTAACAAACTTTCGGATTCTAATAAAATATAAAAACAGAAAAACTCACCAATTCAGATTCATTCTTCAACTGCAGAAGAATCACCAGAAATAACAACAAAAACTCTCTCATCTCTTGGCTTCTCCTCTCTGAATTCTCGTGGAGTTCCTCTTCAATCTTCCACTACTCTGTAATCTTCATCATCCTTACTCATCTTCATCTTCAATCATTCTTCAATCTCTGGAGAATCACATCACAAACAAAAAAACTCTCAGAACTCCCTCTCTGAAAAACCAACAAAACCTTCAACAAATTTCAATCTTTATCTTTCTGCAGAAGCTTCATCAATTCTTAGCTTCATCATTTCTTCAGCTTTACGCTACTGTAACAACAAACATCAACCACATTTTGCATCATCTTCAATCATTGCTACTGCTTCAAAGTCAAATCTTCAAGCTATCATCACTACACTTTGTTCGTGATCTCTCAATCTTCAATATCTCATCAAGTTTCCTGCTTTAAGCAACAACATCGACATCGTGAACTGCACCTTTAACGCTTTTGTAACCTTCTTGTAGTGATTCATCAATCTTTCTCTTTGAACCTTAAACATCAACGCGCCTTCAAGCTTCAATCATCTCCATATTCTACAACAAAATTTCTTCAATCTGCATCACAAAAAAGAACGTCAACAACTTATGAATTTCTACAACTGCGTCGCAAAAGCGGAACAGAATCGCGAATGTTTCGAATTGCAAATGATGGTGACAAACTGTGGCGGAGACGTGAAGGGCACAATCGTGAAGTTTGAGCTCTTGAAGTGGAAGCTGAAGCCAAATAAGGGAGGCATCAAGACCTAAGTCGAATGAATCAGAAGACAGAGTTACAATGGCGAGTGCGCAATCGGATGAGACGTGGGTGCTACGCGCGGCGACTTTGTGAAGAAAAGGATAAGCTGAATTCGTGTACATAGGACAGAGAGAGCAAGACAGAGGCTGGCGATGAGAAGGGATGGTGAATCGAAGATGTTCGGTGCCGATTTGGTCTGAGATCGAAGGAGACTTGAGCCATGGGATTTCAAGAATCTCTATGTTAACCTAAAATCCCAAAACACGCTCACCATTCCCTTTGTTAATTTCTCCATGTTTATTTGTTAAGTCTTGCTAATGTTTCTTATCAGATAAGTAATGTTGAATACAATATGGATAAGATTTGGATTGAGACTATAGGGCTCATGTACCAGACCTCAGCTATTCCCAGGCCTATCATCAAATATTTTTGGCAGCCTGTATGTTTGTGAACAAAAAAAAGGTATTGGACCATTTCTGGATGGGCTCAATGCATCATTATGATTGCTTATAGTATGCCCCCTTCTTACAGATTGCACCCCCTGTTTTTTATTATTTGCATTTTTGTTTGGATAATTTTCTTAATTATTTAGACTTGTTTGGATTTTCTTCACATGATAAAAATAATAAAATCAAATATAAAAATTGGGTAGATTTTTTTATTTGATTTTAGGAATTAAATCTCGATTATTCGATTACTTGAGATTGGTAATTCACCTGTGCTTGTTGAGACATGAGTATTATGCAGGTTTATCATGCGATATGCGGATGTGCTTGAGTTTCCAATTGTGATTTATTTTTACATCGATGGTGATTCGACACTTATTATGATTATTTAATTTCGAACTCTTCTATGTTTCTTGGTGAAGCTCACTCGATGTTTTCCGGGTTTCTCTGCTTTGCTAGCTGTGCTACGACCTCTTGTTTGTTTGGTATCATTCTGATTTTGGTTTATCATTCTGTATTTTACCGCTTTTCTAGATATCAGGAGAAGTATGAATTTTACTGTTTTCTAGATATCATGAAAAGTAGGAAATAAAGAGTGTGCGCTCGAAGTCGGTGTTTAAAGTCCTGTAGCAGGCACCGCTTTATGTATGCTATATGTGTTTGTTTAAAATCCTACCTTTGAATTAGGTATTCTGCATGTGTGTTTACATTTGTTTCCGCCTTATATCAATGATGATAAGTCCTCAAAAGGAGGCAAGTGGGAAGGATCCGTAATCAACCCATATACATTCTAGTATGTGTCATCCTTAGCTCACGTTGTACGTCGATGCTTCGGAGTCGTGCATATCTTGTGTATCGAGTCCGTCAAGTGGGGAAGGATTTTGAAATCAAATCCCCATGATTTGTCAGGAGTTCGCATTGGTCGATGCTAACACTTTGTGATCCTTCATATTGTCTTATGTCACCTACCTCGATCTTCTATATCTTAGTTAGGTGTTATGTCACTTTGGAAGTCACATTTTTTTATTTCATCTGTCTCTCGGTTGTTTGCTTTGGATGATATACTCCCCTTAGCTAAATCATTTCTCTTATTTCCCTGTCCCTTTGAGTAAGTATGTTTGTGTGCTTTTTCCAAAGCACTTATTTTCTTCTTTGTTTGTTATACCATGTTCCCTTAGGATAGGAATTTGTATGATTCCCTTAGGATCGCTCGATTAGAGTAGCTTTCGAGCTAAACATTAGGATAGGTATCCATGCATGCTAACATAGGGTAGAGATTTCCCTTTTAAAACTCAACCTTAGGATCAATCATTGTATGATAACATTAGGGGTTAGATTATAGCTAGTTTCCCATAGATGTTTTTATTTCTTTTGCATCTTTGCATTAAGACTAAAACTTTTTTTCTTAAAAAAGAATAAAACATCTAACAACTTTCAAACCCTTCTTTAAGGTAAAAGTTATCAACCAATACAAACTCTTTTGCGCCTTCAGGCTTTTGTTTCAAACTTTTTCAAAAGAACATGTTAATTCACTTACGTGCTAATGTGTGAGTCCCCAAAGGTCGAGCTGCTGCAAAAGGAGAAATTAATATTGTTCATTAAAAAATACAAACCAATAGAAATTTTTGAGCCGAACTACGGCTTCTCTAATTCCTCAAAAGGGATATGTAGGCATTGGGGTAGGTCCCAAACAATCATAACTTTTATTTTCCCTACATTATTTTCTCTTTTCTTTTTCATGCATTCCATCTTTGTATTTCCTTTTAGCTATTAATCTTAGATTTTAAACACACCCTTTGATTAGAACAACTATAGTGGATACCGTAGAGTACTATGGGCGTGTAGGGTGCTAATATCTTCCCCTCGCGTAATAGACTCCCTTACCCATATCTTCTTGGTCGTTTGACCTAGATTTCACCCTTCACAGGTTTATTCGATGTTTACCTTTCCCTTCCTGTGTGTAGCACGATGGGAGAACTGACTTGGTATATTTTGCGTTTGATCGTAATTGTTGCGGATATCAAGAGTCGCCATTGAATTTTCTTTTATCTAATAAGGAAAGGTTGAAAAGAACATGAAAGACCTTTCGAGATTATTCCTTGAGTTCAGGGGGTAGGTTATGAAAAGGGAAGGTATTAGAACCCTTTCCATCCGTTATTATCTACGGGCTCTTAGTTGCTTGCTAGATCACTTGCTTTTTTTTTGAAAATGTGCCTGTGGTGTGAGTTTTAAAAGTATTTTGAAGACGTCTTTGTAATGGTTCTTGTTTCTATAAGAACGCGTACAAAATGTTGTTTTTGAAAATAGTTCAAAGAGATGTTTGTGGAATGTGTTTTTGAAAGTGATTTTGAAAAGGTGTCTTTGTAATGGTTCTCATTTCTATAAGAACACATACAAAGAGCTTTGTCTTTTGAAAATGTTTCAAATGAAAGTGTTGGTGTATAAAATGTTTTTATTATGAGCAAGCGAGCAACTCTGAGCATCCTACCTACTCAAAAGGTCTTAATGTTCTTTTCGCCCTCCTTTAGATGTTGCTATCATACCATTGATTTGGTAAGAAGCCCCATCATTGGATGTGAAGGGACAGGCGTGGGACGTTTGTATAGTCATAGAAGGCAACTTATAGGACGTTTTATCAATATCGTTTAGGGACTAGATCGTTTACCGAAGGCAACATTGAGGGTCATTGAGGGACTACGATCTTTTATCGAGGGTCTTTGCTAAAACGCCAATATTCGAGAGACATGACTATTTCTCCGAGGCAACAAGTGAGATTACCCTAAGAGTGCATGTGTGAATAATGTGTTTGATTTGCATGCATTTAGTCTTTGATTTTTAGGTTGTCTACTTGTTGGTTTTTATCTTACCATACATCCTAATTACTAACATTTATACAAAAGTAATAAAAATGCAGAAAATAAATCCTACACTATTACAACCATATTGAATAGAATGAAAATGTAAAGACAAAACAAAAATAAAAGAAAGAAAGATGGATGCATCGATCTAGGTAGAAAACCCTTCGATTCTACCCTTTCTGGCTTCCTTCGATTTGGGCCTGGAGTCAGTAAGGTCATGCCTTTCGATTTGGGCTTAGCCTGATGCATGAGATGCAGCCTTTGATTCTGCCTTCATGCCTCCTTCGACTGGAGCCTGGAATCAGCATGGCCATTCTTCTGGCTGCCTCTTTCATTCAGCATGGAGTGCCCTCTTCACCTTAAGTCCTTTCTTGCCTCCTTCGATTGGGGCTTGGAAGTCAGTGTGGAAGCCTAAGGCTTCATTTCATACCTCCTTCCTCCTGTTTCTTTCGTTTGAGGTTTTAAATAGCAACATGGACTAAGGCCATGCTAGCATTACCTTATGGCCAGGTTAGTTCTTAAAGCATATTTAATAAACCAAGAAACAAAACCAAATGTGTCCTTCGAATGGACCATGCAATTCTTTGAATGGGATAGTAAGGTATATCCTTCGACAAGGACTCGTATGTATGCCTTTCAAATCCACCAACCATGTGTGCTAAAGGTTGTCAAGGGTGGAATTGAAGCATACTAAAGGAAAATGTGTCCATTCGAAGCTAGTGTAAACATAGCCAATGCCCTGTCGAAGCCTGCATGCAAGAGGTCTAAACTTTGTGACTCCAAGCAAGCACACAAGAGGCCAATGCTCAAACGAAGACTTTCATGAAGGGAGTCACATGCCCAAACGACAGAGGCATGCTAGGCTGGAAAAGATGTGCAATCGAAGGATGCTAAAACGAGGCAAAAATATGCAACCGAAGGATGCCAAAAGGAGGCTTTTTTGCCTTGGAATCGAAGAAGGCTACATAAGGCTCTTGCCTTGTGCCTGCTGGCCTGGTGGGCGCCTATTGCACGCAAGAAAGGAGTTATGGATCAATCTAAAGCTACATATAGCTATTCATCACATTATGAATCAAAGCAAGCATAAAGGGAATTATTTTTCAAATCAACATAGGCATGCAAGCATCAAACATCCAAACAAAACAAGCATATAGGCAGTCATGGCATTGTGAACCATGTAAGGCCAGAGGTGCAATCGAAGGTGGCATGTAGGAAACTCATTTCTTGTAAATCAAAGCCAGCGTGTTAGAGGCCAAAGCCCAGTCGAAGGATGCAAGCCAAGCTTGCATCGAAAGATGCCAAAAGGCCAATCGAAGGAGCTGAATCGAAAAGACTTGTTTTTCTCCAATTCGTCAAAAATATTATTTTTTACCTATTTTCCCCCTTTTTTAACAGTTTCCTTTTTAACTTGATACTGGAAAATCCCATTGTACTTGTGCAAGCTTGAATCTTGAGAATCCTTGTGAGAAATGCCTTGAGAAATGAGAGGGAAAATTTTGGGGTACAACAGCTGCCCCTGTTCAATCTTCTTAAACTTGAAGAGTTAGATTGGCGAGTCTGCCATTTGTGACTTGAAGGTGGAAGATGATTGAACACTAGAGTGCCCAGAAATTTGTGCTCGATGATGTGGTGGTATATTATGTAGGGAATGGGCTTAAATATTCCATTTGGAGAAATGATGGAGAGTTCTCGGAGATGGGCTTATAGATGCCACCCAAAAGTGATTGTTGAAAGAAATTAGACTAAGTCTAAACTTGACTTCCACTGGAAAAGAATCAAAATAAATATTTGGAGAGATTTATTCTAACCAGAGAAAGT